AACTCCACGCGCCGCAGGGTTTGGGCTAATTTTCCATATCTTTGTTCCCTTCTCCAGTCTTTAGTTTCTACGCGATGCAGTACTGTGCGCGGTCTTTTCTTGAATTTGGACATGTTGTGATGGCACTTACGCTTCGAGGTGGTGGCGTGCGAAATCGAGCGTCTACACGGCGAATGGCTGCGGCGATTCCACTGATATTTTTCTTGCGTAGGTACTTGCAAAATCGAGCGTCTACTTGGCAATTGGCTTGTTTTGATTTGGTGTCTGCTGCGATGCCACTGATGTCTTTCTGAGCGGCTGCTTGTGAAATCGAGCGTCTACATGTGGACATGTGGATGGGCTGGTTTTGATTTGCTGCCGCCGATGTGTTTCTTGAGTGAGCGCTTGCGAAATCGAGCCGCTACATGGCGAGAGGTTGGTTTTGATTTTCTGTTTGCTGCGATTCCACTGATGTGTTTCGGCGTAGGCTTCCGGGTTTCAGTGGTGCGGAATAGCAGGATTTTCCGCTTTCACAAGCGACTTTCCTTTATCTTCTGCTGCTATCGAAAAGGTCTCTCGGTCACTCTGTTTGGTCGGGAATCAACACATCTATCTCCCTTCAGCGCACGCTTGTGCTCAGCACCTGTCGTATCAGGTTTCGCAAGCCGGTTGGTATGGCTTAAGGTTTGGGCTGGTGGTCTGATGGTGTATGTGACAAGACAGTGGCTCGGCAGGAGCAGCTCCACATGCCGATGTAACTCCAAGCAGCTCACGGGCTCTTTCTCCTCCAACTCCGCATGCGAAATCGGGCGTCTACATGGGGATTGGTTGGCTTGTGTGTGCTATGATGCCACTGATGTAATTGATGTATGTCTCGCGAGGATGCTTGTGACTGCGCGCGGGGAACAAGACAGCTTCCGAAATCGTATGTAGGTGTACTTGTACGCAATGGTTTGGTTGGTTCCTGCGGCACCACGCGTCGGCTCCATGCACTTGCGGCTTCAGCTGTGCATCACTTTAAGACTTTAAGATGAGTGCTCCGTTTCCTGCTTGCTGTGCGGAGACGCTTCCAAATCGAGGTGGAACAGGACCTACGTGGGCCGAGGCCTCCAAATCACATGTGGAGGTATCGGTCGGGGTATCGGTTTCAATTAGAAAGGGGTATCGGTCAACCTGCATGCAATTTCCCGAAAAACAGCTCATGGAGAAGAAATACAACATTATATAGGGTTTGCAAGTCTCTTGAAGATCTACACTCGATACGTGCGCTTGGGGTTCGCGCGGCAGCGGCTTGAAGATCTATGCTCGGTACGCGGCTTCGGGAGTGCACGGGAGGCCTTGGGACCCCTATAGAACATCATGACTAAGTACATGCATCTCGGGGTCCGTTCCCCACTTGTCCCCGGAAGTGTGCACTTGCGGAAGGGTGCAATCACGAACCGCAGCACGCAGGTATAACTGCATGCATATCAGGGTCCGTTCTTCACCTGTCCCCGGCGGTGTGCACTTGCAGAAGGCTGCAAAAACGAACAGCAACACGCGGGCTTTCACATGAGTTCTTCACTCTTGGGGGACGGTGTGCGGTGCCCTTGCGGGAACAGCAAATGCAAGGACTTTATCGGAGGCCACCAAACTGTATGTCTTCACAAGCTTCCGGACAGCGTCTAAGAGTCTATTCGTATTAGTATTAGTATTGCATGGTTTTTGGTATGAGGAATGGCTGGTTGTCGGGCGCTGCGATGCCAATGATGTGTGTCTTGAGCGGGTGCTTCGGAAAATCGATCGTGTAGTGGGGAAATGGCTGGTTTCGAAGTACTGTGGTCCCACTGCTGTTTGTGTTGAGCGGGTGACTCTGAAATCGAGCGTCTACATGGTGATTGTAGTGATTTGCACTGACTTCTCGGACTTACCGAATGCGCGGCGTCTGCTTAGAACGGTGTAGCCCGAAGACATTGCACCAAGTTTCGCGGGCATCAGTAGGAAGTTGAATCGGAGGCAACCACAATAGCCATTCTTGAAAATGTTTCTGTCATTGACACGGGCGAATGCACAGCATACCATGCGGGAATGGATATTCCGTTGGCTTGGAAGTGTATGTCGTCAGAAGTTTCCGGACAGCGTCTACATGGGGATTTTTCCGGTGTTGACACACACGCAGACCATGCTTCGGGGACCAGTGCATGCACGGCGTCTCATTGGGATTGGCAGGTTCTGGCCTTCAAATCGGCTTGAAAACTTTATGTTCGGACCCACGCGTCCCCAACTAGAACTATGATTTGCACTGCCTTGCACTGCCTTTCTGAATGCGGGCGTCTAGTTGGGGATTCGTATGACCAACATCCAATGCACTGCCTTTCGCGGGCCGGTGTACTACTGCAGGTCTGGGCATCATGGAAATCTGGAGCTGTGATGCGAGATTGCTTATGCAAAATGCAATGCCGATGTGAGCGCCGCACGTTGTAAGTTGACAATGTAGGACTCCAACAACCCTTAGATGCATGCGCTTACATCGCGGAAAAGGTTTTCGGCCACTGTTTTTTGCGCCACTCCTGAAACCATTTAAATCAAGCGCTTACATGGGGAAAGGTCTCCGTGCTGGTGTTAATGCAGGACTGGGCATCATGGAAATCTGGAGCTGTAATGCAGGACTGTCTAGGCAAAATGCACTGATGACGTGAGCGCTGCACGTTTAAAGTTGACCATATATGACCCCGACAGCCCTTTGATGCATGCGCTTAGATGGGGGAAAGGGTTCCGGGCAAGACTTGTCGTGACTTCTTGAATCATGCGCTTACATGGGGAAAGGCCACCCGGGCACGACCAAGGCATGACTTTCGCAGTTGCCTGTATCGATCGGGCTTGGACGACGACTGGGATGCATCGATGGAGACGGCCGCTCACTCTTCCAGTCGCAGAGGCCCGGGCTGCATTGTACGCCGTGAAGCATTGTCTTCGAGCCTGTGGTAGTTTCGGTAAGAAGCATGTTATCCTTAGCGACTCTATGACGGCTACTTTCGCTAACTCTCGACGAGGGCGCTCGAAACATTACCGCTTGAGATGCTGCACTTGCCCTTTGCGCCGGCTCTCAGTTCTTCCTGAGGTGGATCCCCTCTGAGATGAACCCTACTAGTAGTGACAACCCGTCACAAAGAGTTTGGGGACCCTCAGTTCCTAGCCGAGAGCCCAAGGACAAGTTCTCGGCCATGCTCCTGCGGGGGCTCCTGGGCAACTCTCAGCATGGCCGATGGCAGCGTGGCCAAGAAAAGGAAGCGGGGTCCTACAACATCGAGGGGGAGATCGAAGCCCACCTCGGCTGCGGCGGCCCCAGCGCAGGCCTCCTTCCAGCTCCAGCTGGAGACGAACATGATCCCCAGAAAATTGAAGAAGGAAAGGCGCAAGGCAGCGAGGCAGAGCATGAGTCGGTCGTTGGAAAGCCACACCATTCTGCAGCAGGCCTCCGTTTCTCCCGCTTGCCTAGCCAGGTACAAGAGACACTGGGAGGAGATGGAGCCAATGATGCTGGATGGACGCGGGCGTCTGCGGCCAATTGCAAGAGTCGACCAAGCCTTGGCCGAACACCTGGAGGATCTTTACCGGGACGGGGAGGATTTGGCCACGGCGCGGTATGCTGTGGCAGCGGCGCTCTTCTTCAAACCAGAGCTCCGGTCGCCGGCAATGACTCACCTTCCGAAGGTGAAACAGAGCCGCTGGGTGGAGCAAGTTGTGCCCTCCCAGGAGTCGCTTGCCCATACCGTATGCAGTGGTGGCCCTGCTAGTGCATGCATTGAGCTTGGGTGTTCTGGAGATCGCGATCTACCTGCTCCTGACCTTTTCGCTGTACATGCGACCGAGCGAGGGGCTCCGCCTCCGAAAGAAGGACGTGGTGAGGCCCAGCTCACGGCAGGCTGGGTTTCAACATTGGTCGGTGGTGCTTCATCCCTTGGAAGTCGGGGTGTGCTCAAAAAGCAGGAGTTCGACGAGTGCCTGCAGTTGGACCTGCCCTACCACCAACCATTGGGACCGGCCACTTACAAGTTACTGCGGCTACATCAGAAGCGAGGGGAGGAGCACATCTTCTCCGTCACGCTGGAGGATGTCACCCAGTTCCTCGAGCGGGCTCAGATCGAACTCGAGCTCAAGGGTCTGGGGGAGCTGCAACCATATCGCTTGAGGCACGGAGGGGCAAGTCACGACTTCGTCAGCAAGCTGAGGGACCTGGCATCCATTCAGATGCGGGGAAGGTGGAGATCCCAGAGCTCAGTGCGACGATACCAAAAGGGAGGCCGGCTGACACAGCTGATGCAAACGCTGCCGGTGCATGTCAAGAAGGCCGCCGAAAACGCCGTTCGACAGCTTCCGGCGGCACTTGCTGGCCTGCCTTGAAACGAGGTCTTCCGGACCCGTGTTCATTGAGATCTTTTGTGGCACTGCACGGTTAGCGCAGAGTGTCGCCAAAAGGACCGGTTGGCCTGTACTGCCTTGGGACCTAAACTTTGGTGATGCGTACGACCTCCGTCAACTGCAGGCTCAGCACAAGATCCTTCGGTGGCTTCGTGCAGGACGATTCCAAATGTGTGTGTGTGTGTCTGTCTGTGTGTGTGTGTGTCTGTCTGTGTGTGTGTGTGTGTCTGTCTGTGTGTGTGTGTGTCTCTGTGTGTGTGTGTCTGTGTGTGTGTGTGTCTGTCTCTGTGTGTGTGTGTGTGTGTCTGTCTGTGTGTGTGTGTGTTTGTGTGTGTGTGTGTCTGTCTGTGTGTGTGTCTGTGTGTGTCTGTGTGTGTGTGTGTGTGTGTCTGTGTCTGTGTGTGTGTGTGTCTCTGTCTGTGTCTGTGTCTGTCTGTCTGGCTGGCTGGCTGCCTGCCTGCCTGCCTGGCTGGCTGGCTGGCTGTCTGTCTGGCTGGCTGCCTGCCTGCCTGCCTCTCTGTGTCTCTCTGTGTCTCTCTGTGTCTCTCTGTGTCTCTGGGTGTGGGTGTGGGTGTGCGTGTGCGTGTGCGTGTGGGTGTGGGTGTGGGTGTGGGTGTTTGTGTGTTTGTGTGTTTGTGTGTTTGTGTGTTTGCGTGTTTGCGTGTTTGTGTGTGTTTGTGTGTGTGTGTGTGTGTGTGTGTGTGTGTGTGTGGTGTTGTGTGTGTGTGTGTGTGTGTGTGTGTGTGTGTGTGTGTGTGTGTGTGTGTGTGTGTGTGTGTGTGTGTGTGTGTGTGTGTGTGTGTGTGTGTGTGTGTGTGTGTGTGTGTGTGTGTGTGTGTGGTTGTTTGTGTGTGTGTGTGTGTGTGTGTGTGTGTGGTGTGCTAGGTGTGTGGGTGTGTGTGTGTGGTGTGTGTGTTGTGTGTGTTGTGTGTGTGTGTG